AAATTTATCGTGTTTTTGGCTCTATGGAAACAAAAAAGAGCTAGGTAATTTTTATCGGAGTGGTTTAATAATGATTTTGGTAAAATTAACAATAAAATGTGGTTTTATTATAGTTGAAAAAAATTGGTAAATGTATTAAAAGTTGGTAATTTTATCGCCATACCTTAGAGCTGGGCATAAAAATCATTTATTCGGTTAAATTTGCATTATAGTTTTGTATTTTCTTTTTGTTCTACTAAATTTACTTTTCAGTTTTGTATTTTTTTAAAAAATGTGCGGTAATAAGAACTATAATTTTAATAACCAGAATTTACAGCAAATCATTACCGTATGAACGAAAATAATACTAAATGAATGGTTTAAATATCGTATAATTTGGCTTTACTGATACTTTTTAATAATTTGGCCAGAACTGCTTTCTATTTTTGTAAGAAATGTCATTATTATATAGTACAGTAATTTTATTAGAATTGCTTTCTCGGTGCAATAAATTAGTATATAAATAAAGTGAATAATGTTTAAACGCATAGTTAGGTAATAAATGTATAGAATATCATTTTAAAAGTGTGCGCTAGGGGGTAAGAATATACCATTAAATTCCAGCTTAATAATTAATAAAGTTGGGTGTCTTACTCAAAATTTTAGGCCATTATAGCTAAAGTGCCAAGCAGAGGATTAATTTGTTCCCCTTTACATTGCGAATATCACCTTTTGTATTTACGGTTTCAAAGAAATTCACGATATATACATTTATTTTAGAATGCAGAAAGAAAATACATTTTAGAGAAATGTTTAAAAAAGTTTTCCGATGATCTCAACAGTTTATAACAACAAAACATTGAAGTATCCTATTATAATTTTTTTTCAATAAGAAAACATAATATATAAATAAAAAATGTTTTGCAATAAAGAACTAATCGCGTTATTCCAGATACCTTTTTCAGCAGTTTATGTTCCAGCACATGAAAAAAAAATTCTCACTTTAAATTTTTATGATGTGCTAAAATTTAATTATTTGACCTATAACTATAAAAAATCTTAGCTATACGGTTATAATTAGCTACTCAAAAAATATTGTTTGTAGAAATTTAGCGTTAATAAAAACTCTATTTCTAAATACATAAAAAGAGAATAAAGGACAAATTTTATTACAGCTTCCCCCATGGAACAAAGTGGTCATAAAACAGTGACGGGTAAAAATCTCAACATAAGATAAGCGGTACTTGATCCGGTTATTGAGCCTATGGTATCTTTTCAAACGATCTCTACTTTCGGCCTTCCATTAAGTAATCGGGCACGGTAGGCTTTTAAGGAAATGAAAAATGTAGCACTTCCACGTTATCTAAACAATGTTTTTTGTTTCACTTTTCCTCAAAACCTTGTACTAATTAACTTCGTCAAAAATTTCCAGTTTTAGTAATAAAGCAGCTCAGCTTTATAATTTGCTGAACTTAAATGACTGCCTGTTTTCACGCCTTTCGTGTTTGGCTGTTTAACTTACTTCCGGTTGTCAAACTTTTGACAGTCATATGACTATTTAGTTGAAAGTGAAGTTAGGCTTAATGAAACAATAACTTGAATAACCTTGTACACATCTTTGTTTTTTAAGTGAGTTCTGCACTTAAATTGGTAATTTAGCAAATCAGTGTAACTGACATTACAATGACACGCTTATTTTGTTAAATAAAATGTCCATGGTTAATTTTTTAAATGCCCAATTTTTCAAAAAGTATTGTTTGTGCCTAGCTTCCAAATTCGCTGATATGAGTTTTAAATATATATATATTTGATAGGGTGTTAAATTAACTCTTAACATATTTAATAAAATTGAGATTTATGGAATATATAAGATATTTTATGTTATTTGAAATTAATATATTTTAATGCGCGTTTAACCAATACCTCCTAGAAGAAAGAATTCCTCAGCAAGGATCAATTTAGTAGTCCGACGTAACAAACATGAAACTGCGCAGTGGATGAAAAATAAGAAACATGTCACTACGTTTGGGCTACTAAGTTGCGCAGTGGTGGTAAATACGAAAGATGCCATTACGTTTGAACTACTAAGGGATCAAATTTCTCGTTTATGGTAACCCGTGCTGAGGCCTTCTCTTTTCGAGGAGGTATTGGTTTAACCCTCTAAGCGTTGGTTATAGATTTTTGCAAACTTCATACCGAACTTGAGTTTCTACGTACCAGGTTGGTTTTTCTCAATATTATTTATTGCGGAAAGGTGCACAAAGGAAAAATTAGAGTAAGCAAAGGAAAAATGAGTAATAATTACATAAGCAAGTAGTTAAAAAAATTAACGAAAGGTTAAACAATGCATCCTTTATTTAAAGATTATGTTTTATGTAAAACGTGTTAGCAAGCTCATTATAAAATGCTTTAATCTTTGTTTAAGAAATTGTGTTTTAATCTGCTTATTTTTTCCATAATAATGTATTATTGCCTAAGTAATTTCAAATGAAAATATTTAAGTAATAAGGAATTATTTTATAATAAATGTCAAATTATGCAGTATAATAAAAACAATAACTGATGACACTTTGAAAATAGTCGAGATTTTTTTTAAACATTAATTATTTTAGCAAATTATTTTTTTTAACCACTTAAAAGTGTAACATAAGTCCTTATTGTTTCATATTTCTTCATTAAATAAGATTCCTGCTACATTGTGCTAAAATTTGATAGGAAATCTATGCATTAATTCCTTTTTTTCAATCAGTTAGCTACAAAGCTTTTCACAACGCATAATAATGTGTTTTTTTTAATAGATTTTATTGTGGATTTCCTTAATTCGAATCCAACAACTAAAGTTCAAGTGTTGAAATTAGAAAACAATTTTGCACAATTTTTATTTCTATTTTTTTCGAAATTTCGAAGAAATAATTTCATATATTATTTTGAAGTGAAATTTTGCGACTTCATATTTTATTCTTATATGAGACTTTAAACAAATTATATAACAACATATGCTAAGTAATGCAAAATTTCAAAACTACTTTTAGCAAAATAGAAATTTCATAGTCTTAAAAGCAATTGGAGATCTTCACTTTAATGCACATTTTAAAAAAAATTTCCATTTACTCATTACCCAAGTCAAAATTTTTATTTGATTGGAATCATTTCTTTCTTTTAATGATAATTGTCTATTTATGACTATAACGCATCATTGTAAAATAGAGAATTCTAAAAATTACCGATTATAATGAAAAACTGAAATCTTTTGTTAAAATAGAAGTTAATTGGACAAAAAAGTAGCGGAAAGTAATTTATTATGTAGAGTGCAAGTATATTTTACATGCATATAGAGGAAATTCAACAAATTCAACAAAAAGGTTTACTTACGATTTCTAATGAACAACTGTGCAGATATTGATTGGAAATCTTAATCCTCAGTTGTCTCTATTAGTTAATAGGAAATTATTGTTGTTAAATGATTTTCATCTTAAAAAAAACATTTAGGCTTTTTTTTTCTATTAAACTTCCACGTGTGCTACATGATTCCAAAAACATTTCTTCAAAAAGTATTTTCTAATTCATAACAATCAACAAAAATTTCGTAACTCTATAAAAGAATCATTTTCGTGGAATAATTAAATTCTTAATCATTTTCTGTCATTTGATTGGAATCATGTCTTTCTTTTGATGATAATTGTTTATTTAGTTAATAATCATGTATTAAATACATAATGAGATAAATTGCAATGCATTTATGAAAAATTCTTCCTAAGAAAATGTTGAACAAGATGTATGCATCATGCTATATATATTACATCATATTGTATATACTATAAAAAATTCCCTTTCTTTTTACAGATTTTCATTGTATATTTGACGACTTAAAGCTGTTTTGTTGACGAAATGTTTTTTCGCTGTTTTTCATCGGACTAAAATCGTCAGTTCAAACTCTTGTTTTTGCCTTGCAATTTTGCTTACCCAATTATAACTCTGCCCTTTTTATATCAATTTACGAATTTTTTCGTTACTTGATCTTATTTTTCGGTAATTATTTTGTGAGTTTGAACATCACATAACTAAAATTGTGTTCCAATTTCTTTGTCAAATTGATACTTGATACTATTCCTAATTATTATGTTTCTTTTGATATAATGTTTCGCTGAGTTATGTTGTAAAACATCTTTATAAAGGTTGGTCTCTGTATTTTTAAACATTTTTTCTCATAAATATTATTTCTTTATACTGAGACACTAGAGCTGTGATAGCTAAGGCACAATGAAATTTACGGTCCTAAGTGAATATTTAATTCTCAATCCTTTTGATAGGACATACCGCTGCATCAAGATTGTAACCACTGCACTGAATAGCACTGTATTGAAAAAAAAATAAACTGCAGGATTCGTATCACTGGATAAAGAAAATCTTGTTTACATTTAATTATTTTTGATGACGATAAAACGTAGTACAGTTTTTCAGTATTTTTACGAATCTAAATATTTTTGGGAATTGTAAATTTTAGTGATATTCGGAGTATATTTAAAAGAAATACCGAAAAGAAAACCTACTATATAAAAAAAATATTAGAAATTTTATTTTAAAGTTTGTTGAGTAAATAATGCAATGGATATTATTCATATTCCTAGACATCCATTATAATCTAAAAAGTACTGATATTTATTTATTTCATGATCCATTATATTTTGGTTACCGGCCAAAATGGCAGACAGAAAATTTTGATTACTGATGCTGTAAAAACAATAGTAAATATTCCATTTTTATTGAATATGTTATTGAAAAGAAAATGATATTTTTGAAAAAATATGCAAAAGTGAATGGAAAATAATAATTAAATGAACTTGGTTGCCTTATTATTTTGATCATATAAGTAATTAATAACTGAAGAGGAATTTTTTCGGTAAAGGTAATATTATTAAAAGGTAATATTAATTAAATTATGTATGTTTAAAAACTTCTTATACCATTGCTTGAATATAAAATATCTAATTAATTAGAAATAAAATACTTTTCTATTTCAGGAGAAAGAAAGAGAATTGGTGAATTGTGAGCTAATAGCTCCAGTTGTGGCCATGTCCAACTGGATGTTGGCTTAGTTATGAAGCCTCAGAGGCTAATGTCGATAATTCCCCACCACAGATGGAAATATCCGCCTTCCACATGACTTATATTTCTATCATCATGACACTATGGGAGATATTAACTTTCATCATATTTCAAGGTACTAATTTATTTTGACTATTAAAATGTTTTTGATTCACTAAAAACTCACCAGACAAGAACTAGTCAATCCGAGAATAATTATGAAAAGCACCATCGATTACCATGAAATCTTTCTCTGAACTTGATATTACCTACGATTCGGATTTATTCTCTGCATATCATTTCATTTTTTATACTTATGTTTAATGAATAAATTTTTAGTTTAGTTTTCCTCTGACTAAATTGTTTACGTATTTTATTTAATCAGAAATCTGTCATGATATTTATGGTAAACAAATAATAAAATCATTCAGTAGTTGCAGATTCCTGAAAGAACTAATTATTTTAGTACGTTTTCCAAGATTTTAATACATTTTTTGATCATCACTTCCAACAACTCATTCCTATATTTATTTTCATTTTGAAGTTTTACTAGCTTTGTTACAAAATTTTGGAACTGATACAAACTTTAAAATAGCATATTTTTTTTAAAGTTACTTAGTTAAACTGAAGATGTTACTTAATGATATATATCGTAATCTAATGTGACAAATTAATCTTTGATAAAGAACAGTGAAATTTCATTGATATCGTAATCTCTAATTACCCACTAATATCCTTAGTAGACTCCTTTAAAACATGAAAACAGTTATTTTGCACATTATGTGACACTTTATACCCGTTTTCTTCCTTAAGCTCTTTAACATTTTTAATACATGTAAGTACATGCATTAAAAATAATAAAAAACCATTCTCTTCGATGGATAAAAAATAGCTTCAAATAAAGAAAGCAAATTATTTTTGGCTAATGTGCTTAGAAACGAGAAAAGAAGTTCCTTAAAAAGAATAAAACTCGATTGAATCAAGGATAAAAGAAAGCGTCAAAATAAGTTAAGATTAGAAAAAAGAACGTACACTTTGGCGTTGTAAAAAGAGCAAAAAGGTCTCAATATTGGTCAACAGGGATGGAGAAAATACGAAAGAGATACGCTTTAACGGAGATTAGACGAAGGTAAAAAGATGAGAAAAAATCTTCCACAAGCGCGAGCATCCACGGAAGCGGATAGTTTTTCGCACGCCAAAAAACTTTTAGCAGATATTCTTGGTTTATTAATTTTCTATAAAGGATAAGGAATTTGTGAGTACGAAATATTGGATAATAACTCAGCCGGCAAGAGAAATAATCCTAATATGTGTTTATGAGTAACAAAATTATTTTTTTCTCAATTCCATTAGAAAGTATTATTGAGTTAAATTGTTTACTTCATCATTTATAAATCTTATTGAAATTATTATTATATACTGTATGCATATACACGTGGAATAATCAATAGTACTACACTAATGGTACCATATAGCGTTATGTGTGATATAATTCTATTATAGCATATTATCAAATGCCATAAATAATATCATTATATAGTATCACAGCATAGTATCATATATCACACGTATTACTGAAATATAGTATCATATGTCACGTGTATTGCCATAATATCATGTCATATATCACGTGTATTATCATATTATAGTATCACATGTCACGTGTATTATCATAATATAGCATCATATGTCACGTTTTATCATAATTTAGAATCATATCACACATGTATTATCATAATATATTACCGTTAGCCTTTCCAAAGATTTTTTTTTATTTTAGTTTGAAAATTTATACTTAATATTTTATAAATAGGTTAGACTAAAAGTTGTAATAAGGCTTTTATTTTTGATTTTTATTTTTCATCATGAACTTTATAACAATAAAATTATTATAGCTTTCGATCTGAAGCGTTAATGATATAAAATCTTATTGCTTCTAATAATTAAATTGCTTAAAGATTTTACTTCAAAACTATAGTTGGTAATTTCTAAAGCAATCATTAATCTTATTTACCAAATACTTAAGTTTTTATCTTAAGACATTAATATATCAGTTTTTATTCGTAAGTTCATAAAAAACTTTATTTTTTTACAATTTTTACATAAAAGAAAATTGTTTCTCAAAAAAAACATTTGTAATTAAATATCCTTTGCAGGTTAAGACTCTAATATTAAAAGTGATAAAAAAGAGTATCAGACAAATCTCAGAAACTCTAGTCAGTGTAAGATACTATTCTAAAAATGAACACAGGTAAAAAAACATTTTACTCTAAAACTTAAGGTTCAGAGGTGCAAACTATCATAACCCGTGACATTATTATACATTATGTTACACTTTCACCAAAATAAGCACTCATATTTTTGTTAAGAAATATTTATAACATAGAAGCAAATGAAAAGATACAAATTTTTAATTAATTTAAAAAAAATATTAATCACAAAAAATAGAAAAAATATGCCAACCAAATTCTGATGCTCATTGTAAAATTCATATCAGGTGATATTTTTTTTATAAAATAGACACACATTTTTTTTACTGTCATATTTGAAAAATATTTATAATTTTGAAAAGTGCAAGTTTCAATTTTAAGGACAGACAGATTAAAAATACTTATTAAAAAAAGACAGCAATAATCAAATTTTTTTGCAGTGCAAAGCTTTAAGATAATTTTTAAATGTCCATTTAATCTTCACATAAAATTCTGCTTTTAAACAAAGTAAACATTTTATAATTTACATAATTTTTGAAGCTTTTACTATTCAGAAGAAAAGAAGTAACATTTTTAAGATAAACTGAAAAAAACGAATTTTAGTTATAACTAAAAATCACAGTGTATAGTATCTTTAGAAAGATATGAAGTCAATGAAAAGTATTTTATGGCTTAAGACAGTCTCCCATATATCATTCGGAAAATAACAAAAATATATTTTCTGAAAAAGAATTGTTTCAATTGAAATTAAACAACTGAAATGAATTGAATTGATGGAATTAATTTTTTATCTGTTCAATCCTTTCTTTAACCTTTTGACGCAGATGGGAAGCCGGCTTCCCTTTTGTACGTTTTTACTGACACTCTAATTACAGGTAAAATATGTTTCAGTATTTTTTAATTATAAAAAAAATCAGTCAAACAATTACTAAAAAAATCCGTTAAATTTTATTAATTACATTTGTTTTTAAGTATTAAATAAGAAAAAGTGGCTGGAATATTTTTTCATTCATATTAAAAAAATTATCATAATTGGTTTTATAAATTAAAAAAATTTTGACAATGAATAACTGTTTGTCTTAGATCTAAAATAACTATGAATAAATTAAAATTTGAAACACATTTTTGGAAGATTGTAAGATATGATTTGAGATAAAGAAGAATTTACCTTTCACACAGAAGTGTATGCCGGTGTCCTATGTTGTATTCCATAATCATAAACTTTTCCATGTTAAATATAATATTTTCCCCTCATTTTGACCTAAATTCACACAAAATAATGAAAAAAGCATGAAAAATACGTTTAATAAAAATTCTGCTCAATAACATCTAAATTAATCAATAAAATTTATCTCATTGATTATTCTGATCGAAATTAATATATATTTAATTTTTTCATATTGCATTTAGCATAAAGAAATTTCATATAAATGTCAAAATACATTTATTTTGACATTTATATGAATTATATATATATATATATATGCTTCTCACAAAAAATTGTCTAAGTTTAAAATTTCTAAGAAAAGATATTGAAATCAAATGCCTCAAACAATTTAACATCTTCATCTATAAATATTTATCAATAATAATAATGCAGCAAAATATTTTCATTGATACATGCAGCTTTTCAATTTCACTCTGTATGTTATTTTTTACTTAATCTACTATTTTTAAAACACTTTTTTTGAATTTAAACTAACATTTTGGTTACAACGAATTCAGTTACACTTTACATTCCAAAGAAATATTCAGCCTAGTGTATTACTCATATATCATTTTAAATCTTCAATTTAAACGCTATTTTATATGATTCATAGTTCAATTTTGCGCAAAGATCACGTACGTGGAAGGTAATATTTAACATTTTTATTTCGTACAATATAGATTCTAAAGCGTGATGAAAATTAAATTAAAATTTCTGCGAGGAACTTTTTTTTCGTCCTTCCGATTTCGATATTTGTGATTTACCTTTTACTCTGCTAAAGTAAAACTTTGTTTGTGTTTTATTTTCAGGCAATAATGAATAAAATATGGTGTGCAAGGCATAAAATATGGTTAAAAAGCATGACATAAATAAAAATAATTTCGAAAATATAGATTTAAAAATGAACCTATGTTTGAACTAATATGAATAAATATCAAAGAATGCTATTCATTGCTCTTTTGTTTTTGCCTTAAAAATCATAATATTTATCCTCATAATTTGCAATAATATTTTATTAAAATCAAACTTCCCCTAACTAAAAACTTCGATTTGTTTATTTACCTTAATTTCTAATTTATTCATCTAATTTTATAAAATTTTGAAATAAAGAACATATTTGCTTTTTTGCAACTTTGCTAAATTTTATCTTCGCTAAAAGTTACTTCATGTGCATAAAGGAATATTACAAACACCGGTCTTGATATTTTCTTGGATTCCTCAATTAGCGAAGGCGTAGTGGTTAAAGCACTGAACTGTTATTGTTCTAGACAGGGGTTCAAATCGTGTCTTCAGGCCAACTTAGCTTCAGATCCATGGGTACTAGCATGCCTGGTTAGTAAAAGAGGCTAGTACTCAATGCTTACCACGGTGCCGATGAAATGTCTTGGTTTCGAAAATGTGAAGCGTTAGCTACTTTGATCCACTTTGCCGAAAAATTATATAATTATGAAATTCTGAGAATTACGCAGAAGCTTTAGTTTTAATTCTGAAGCAACTTCTTGAGCTATTTTCCCAAAGACAACGCTTAATGTATAAGAATATTTTATAATCAGTTTGGTTGCTTATTAAGGATATATTTTTTAAAATTTGTAAGACTTGTAATTTTGTTTAACTCTTGTTGAAATTTTGTGCAAAAAAATACATTCCACATTTTTAATAAAGAGCTTATCTTAAATTTAAAAAGAAAAAGAACTGTAATCACTTTCAGAAATTGCCGAC